TACTGCCCAGATTGATATCTTGTTTTGTTCGTTTTCGGTTGGAAAGATTTTGAGGAAAGCCCATGTGTTTTAGCAGCCAAATCAGACTTCTTTTTTCTGACCATATTTAGTCTGAAATGAATTTCTTAGTTATTGTCATTACACAGTACTGATAAGGAAAGCTAGCCTTGGGGTTGGAGTTGGAGGTTTCCTCCAAACTGAGAATATTATCATATGCTTTTTGTAACGGATTTTTCAACTCAAAAAATAAAGTCATCTTCTTAGTTTATATATATATATATATATATATGTGTGTATATATATATTTTACCCGCAGGTAAGTGATCATCAACTTCATTTGTTTGTCTTTAGTAAGCAATTCATTTTTATGTATTGCTGGTTACATACCAGTTTGCAATCTTGTATGTTGAATCTATACAATGACCATTGGACAATATGTATGCAATCCATACTGAAAGAAACATACAGATGGAATATATTCTACGTATTAGCTCTTTGTTTTTAGTTTTGCTCTCTTGTATTTGGTAAGAATAATAGGAGATGAAGTTGGGGAGAAGAAAATGTAGGAGAAGCACTTCTTGAGCCCAAAATGAGCAGCTTAGATTGAGCAAAATCTTGGAAGAAAGAGCAAAGAAACGCTTTTGTATTTGACACACAAAATCGTATAAAGTTGAATGTCCTAGTGATAATAGATTATCACGGTGGGTTTGCGGTTAAAGAAGTGAGCGATGGCTAGCGTTTTTGAGAGTCTTAAATGAGAAAGTCTGTCTCTATTAATTTAACAGTACATATAAAATGTATAGGAGGGTAATACGTGTTCCGGACGTTTTATTATTATTTTTTATCAAAAATATCACACGCTATATCGTATATATATACGTTCCTTATTATTGCTTAGTAGCTCATGTATGCTATAAGGAGTATCGTTGGTTCACTTTTTTTTTTTTTTTTTCCCACCACCTTTTTCCATGTTGAAATGTGCCACAAACAGTTGTCCAGGGGATCAACGTACCTAAAATGTTCACATCAAGTAATTTGGCTCTGCTTCTATAAAACCGAGTGCCAAATATTTCGATTTCAAATCTGAAAATTGGTCACGCCCATGCCAGAATTGCCGACCTCGTCGTGGATTTATTCTTACTCAAAAAACAATATTCAGATTTCGACACATATCCATGAATTGCGCCAACTAGTGTTGCGTCAGGACAATCATATAATTTCTAGAGAGAGAGAGAGAGAGAGAGAGAGAGAGGATGTTTGAAAGAGGACAATGCAGCCACCAGACAAGCCCATTTGGGAAATTGTTGTAGTTTAGTTAAAAGGCAATTATGATTTCTCCACATAACATGTGAAGGGAAAGTCCACCATTAAATATTGAAACAAAGCTATTTGTGATAAGATAGGCTTATCTTAACCGACTATATCAGGAACTACAAAGTTAGAATTGGACAAATATTATTTGAATAATAGTCATAGTTTTTCTTTTTAATTCAGATGCTGATTCAACTTGTACAAGTTTCAAGTGCTGGGCCATTTATGTAACTTGTGAGTGTAACTTCTATGTTTTATTCATTAAAAAAAAAAAAAGTTCTATGTTATTTATTTATTAGGAATAACGTGCCTGATAGTGATATTACTCATGTGGGGTTCAAATGCCTAAGTGAAAATGTTTTGAGCTTGCTCTCCTGAGCAAAGGGGCCTTTCCCTTTGTTCTTTTCTTTGTTGGTTTCCCCTTTACCCACTTTTATTTTCTTTAAAAACAAAAAATGTATTGATCTTGGAATGCATGCGGAGCTGACAGGTTCAGTCTTCAGAGTTAAAAATACTAAAATAGTTACCTGATCATGAAGAGTATTAGCCTCTTTTTGAACCAATGAAAAAGAAATTTCAACATTGTTTTGGCTTTTTTCTTTATTTATTTATTTTTTTGGCTTTCCTTTTGATAAGAAAAGTACCCTTATAATTCTAACTACAATTTATCAAAAGAAGAAAAAAAAAAAAAGAAAAAAAAAAGCCTTTCATACAAGGGCACATCAACATATAAATATAGCTGGAAAGTCAGTTTACCTTCCTATAAGAGTGCCTTTGTAGGGTGGGAAAAAAAAAAAAAAAAAAAAAAAAAAAAACCTTCCTTTTTGACCACTCTATTGAAAAATTGTCATTCTGTTTTTGGTATCAAGGGAAGCTAAATAAGTGTCATAGATCATAGAGGTCAATCTGATGGGCTATTGGAATCTCATGTGTAATTCTGCAGAATCTCCTCAGAGCTTTCTAGGCATTTTTTGTAGTTATTTTGAATGTATCTCCTGATTCCAGGGAATGTAGAATTTGCAGGTCCTTTATGACTGACCATGCATGACCCTTCTTGCATTATGTTTCTCTTTTTTGAATTCAATATTTTAATAGCAGTTTACACAAGTAATGAGTAGTAGGAGATTGGAATGAAATAATGTGGGCTTACTCAATCAAACCAACAAGCAATTTACGTTAACCTAAGTGGTTATGTAATTTGGGAGAGTCTGTGAAACTCAAAGTCATAGATATCTCAATTTTAATGCTTAAAAACTTATTATTATACTTGAGAAAAGGGAAGAAAAAGAAAGTTTTGTGACGATCAAAGAGAAAGATAATGATTTTTTGTTTTTTTGGTATGTGATGTTTGTGGGGAGAGTAGGCTTTTTAGCTATGGTAGCACCGTAGTAGTAGTTGTAGTAAAAAACGACAGAAGCTATCTAATGACTAATGAGACAACGGGGGGTAATGCTGTCGAATTCCAGAAATGGGGGGAGTGGGGAAAAGTTTCCGAAATGACTCTTTTCATTTTTGAATATTTCTTTGCAAATATAGTAGCGGCAAATTTTTATCTCAAAATAAATAAAATAAAAATAAAAAAAAAATAAATTGTGAGATTGAGATCCCATCTATGATGTTTTCAGTTCACCGTCTTCGCCCCCAAACTTTGAACGTTTGCTTTTTTTTCTTTCTTTTTTTTTTTTTTTTTTTTTTTTTTTTTTTTTTTTTTTTTTTTTTTTTGTCGCCTTTCTAACAATTGAATAATGTGGACCGGCTATTATTCTTTAAGGGCTGGTTTCTGTTGGAATTTGGACAGATCCAATGTATGGGATTACAGCCGAAGATGCTATCACCCGACATCTCTATGGGCCTGTCTTGAGCTTCAAATTTGTGAAAGCCCATGGCTCCACAAAATTGGGGAATGGCTTGTGTCTCCCTACAAAATAAATAGGGTAATCCAATGCCACTTTAACGAGGCGCGTTAAGAATTATGCGGCTCCAACAGGATGGTTTAGAATTCTGCCACGTTAGAAGACACGTCAAAAGTTAACACAATATATGTTTTGCTAAAAGGGTTAATTCTCACGTTGAGTTTTTTCTCAATCTCATTTTAATTTTTAATTTTTAAAATGTCTCGTAATTAGTTTATAAAATTTTATTTTATTTCAGTTTCGGTCATTTCATAATCTAAGTATTAAATCTTTGACGAAATCTAAAAAAATTAGAGACTAAATTATAAATATTTAAAGTATAAGGACTAAAATAATGTAAAAAATGAAAGTTATTTTCTAAAAAGCACTCTAAATTTTAGACGTTTTTAAATTGTCTCCTTAATTTACACATATTTTATTAAATATTTAACACCTAATTAACAGAAGGACTAAAACTGTAAAAGAGTAAAACCTCTGGGACTAAATGTAAGAATTTTTTAGAATCAAAGATCAAAATGAGATTGAAGGTGAACCTCAGGGACAATTAATTGGATTAACCGTTGTTGAAATTAACCCTTGGTCGTCGCTACTATCTATTAGATTAGCAGTAATAATTATATTATTAAATTATGTGACCGATTCAGCATAGTTCATTGTTATCTTAATACAAGAAATAACATAACCAACAACTACAAACGGAGAGAGAACACCAATTGATTTCAATCACTCAGTTTGAGTCTATTTCAATGGGTGAATCGAACGAATTGGCGACAACTAGAAAAAACATAGATGTTAATGAAGATGTATGGAATTAGTGTTTAAGAAAATGACAAGAGATGATTTAGTAATATAACTTTTAAATTTTGATTTTTTTCCTTACAATAATCTTTTAAGTTAGTGAAATGACACTATTTCACGTCATGGGTACAATTAAGAAAAGAAAAGAAAACCATTACTTTCTTTTTAGTGAGGTTTGATTTCGAATGTCGAAGGATAAAATTGAAGGGAACGAGAGAAATGGAAGGCCGATGACGTTCGGGATTTGAAAATGGATGGTGTGAGTTGCTCAAAAGGAAGCAATAAGGGATTGAGCAAAAAAAAATCTCATAACTTTTTTCTTTTTATTTTAATGGATCTAAAATTAAGAAAAAACTGAAAATAGAATTTATTGATATTTGAACACAAATGTAATAGACTTTACATTTTCAATATTTTTTCTTAATTTGAGACTATTTAAATACAAATAAAATGATACAAGTTGCAAACACAATTTCAAGTATTGGATAGACATTTTTAAAATGTTAAAATATTATTTTATTAATATAAAAAACACATGGTATCAAATTTAACAAATTACAAATTTTAAATAAAACGATAAACATAAATATAGAGACTCAATTAAAAAAGGTTTGCTCTGTATAAATAAAATCAAGTACAATTAAGGAGACGTTTGGTTCATAAATTAGAATCATGTGATTAGAATTATTTTTAATTTATGTGTATTTTTTATGAAAAAAAATACTGTAATAAATTATGAACCATAATTCAAATTATAATTTAAATCCTCTAACCAAACATCCTCTCAAACTTGTTAGAAAGAACCATTATAATCGATGAAATCAAATCTCAAAAACAAATCTAGCCGTAAAGTGATTTTTTTTTTTTAAAGAAAAGTATTTTTGTTAAGAAGAAATGATCAGGAAAGACAAAAATAAAAACAGAAAACATTTGACAGCAACGAAAGAACTAGGGTGACGTTAATGCCAACGTCACATTTGACAATTGATTGGCCTTCCCATTCAAACTTCGAAACAATATCCTTCTCATCTTCCCCGCTATCTCTCACTTTCCTTCTTCTGGAATTTTCCATTTCCCATCCCCCCAAATTCCCAATCTCCCTCTCTCATCGAAGAACACGAAGATGAGCAATCAACAACAACAGCCGTCCGATCAATCCCACACCGACAAAACCCCCAACACCGATCCACCACCGACGCACAATTCCCCACCGGCGCACAATTCCCCACATTCCTCCGACTACGCTTCTTACCCCAAGCTCCAACCAGACGACGTCGTTCCTCCCCCCCAGTCCGAGACGTGGACCTCCGTCTCCATCTCTCCGCAACCCCAGTCGCCGCCGCAACCGCCCTCCGCTCCGCCTCCTCCTCCGCCGCCCCACGCCGAACAGCGGGCTCCGATCGACGGCGACGCCGCCACTTCGATGCCGCACGAGTCCAACCCCTACGTCACCCTTCCCGCCCCGCCGCCGCCTTCATCCACCAAGAGTGAGCGCCCCAGTCTCTGCACCTTTGATGATTGATCATTGTCTGATATAAATAACGTTCAATTTTTGGTTTTCTTGGAAGAAATGAAGCTGATTGATTTTATATTTGTGTGTGCTTTTGGTTTTGTGTGCAGATAAGATGGATTCGGTGAAAGATGTTCTCGGGAAGTGGGGGAAGAAGGCGGCGGAAGCCACCAAGAAGGCCGAGGATCTTGCTGGGAACATGTGGCAACACTGTGAGTCCTATTCCTTGTGTGATTTTCGCAGTGTTTTTATCCATTTTTGCTTTTGCGTGTTTGGCAAGCATTTAAATACTCAAGTTTGATCAGAACAACTGTTATCTGGAGACTTATTTGTCACTGATCATAATCAATTGTTAGAGCTATATAACTAGTAGGTCTTATTTCAGATAAGGGTATATTTGATTTGTTGTGATTTGTAACAAATTCGCCCTTTTCTTTTACGGCCAAAGCTTCAATCTCTTTGCGTGCATCATCACCTCTTGACTGTTGTTTTGCGTGCACTAAATGGTGCCAACTACAAAAGATAAGTATTAAGTAAGCATAACAACGGTTTGATATTTTCTCGGTTTCTTCTAAACAATTTGTATGCGAAATGATTTTGGATTATGCTTGGGAGAATATTAAAATCTTTGCATTATATAGTAAGATAATGGAAATACACGACGATGTATGATAGTGTGATTTAACTTCTTGGGAGATTTTATGTTTTTTATCTGGCTCTCGTTCCAGTCTAGAGCAACGAAGCAAAAAGTTTTTTACTTTGTTGATTTTTTGATGACCCCAAAATCTTTCATTGGTTAATATATGCTACAAACAAAACACTTTGTGGCTATAACTTGATGATTATACAATGGGCTTGCAAGTTTAAATTCGAGCCTTGTCCTAGAAGTTACCCTTGTTTTGAACGACTCGTATGCTTTCAGTTTGCATTTGATGTTAGTCTTTTGCTTCTAGATTGCTCCACATTCTTTTCCATACTCACTACTAACCAGTGATTATTGTGGTTACCTTTATTTCATGTTTAGTTACTTGACCGAATTTTGTATTTTATTTTTAATAAACAAATTGTGTACTAAAACGTTTCTTAAATTAGTGAAAACGGGTCCTAGTTTTGCTGATGCTGCTGTCGGAAGAATAGCTCAGGGAACAAAGGTACTTGCAGAAGGCGGTTATGAGAAAATCTTTCGACAAAATTTTGAGACTGTCCCTGAGGAGCAACTTCAGAAAACATATGCATGCTACCTATCCACATCTGCTGGTCCAGTAATGGGAATTTTATATTTGTCAACTGCAAAGGTTGCATTTTGCAGTGACAGCCCACTTTCGTACAAAGTTGGTGATCAGACTGAGTGGAGCTATTACAAGGTAGATTCTGAGTTTATTTGTATGTTATCATTTGAAACAGTTGTCACCCTTTTTCTTCACTAAAAACTGTGTGTTCATATCATATTACCCATCCTTCGGAAATAGATGCTACCTTTTCTTTTGTTGATGCTCCACCATGATGTTACCAAAAAAAAAAAAAAGTTGCTGTTATGTATCTTCTATAATTATATTGTGCAGACGCTATGCTTGACCGTTGGTCGTATTGTTAAAATTTTTCTTGATTATCTACTCTCATGGTGTATGTGTTATTGCAAACATCAAATAGGCATGTATAAATGTGTGTATGAATACCCCTACCATCCCCACCCCCCTCCCCAACCCATTACCACGCACGCACACACAGAGCACACGTGAGTATGTGCATGCATACACGTCTTTGCCGTGTTGGTTTGTATTTAAGAAGCACATATATAAACACATGTTGAATGTGTTTTGTATTTTGGTCTATGCCTCGCAATGTAAAGTTCGTCGTTCTATTTCCTTCCGTATGCATAATAAACACAGTAAACCCATTATGCGTGCCAGTTGCATGTCAAGTTTAGCAATAAACTTCTAGTATGTTGTAAATATTTAGGTGAGCTCGTGGTAAATCCTCTAGTATGTTGTAGTTTAGCATGTTGCATTTATCAAGTTTAGCTGTCATTTAGCATGTTCTAGTGCATACTTAGTCCTCATCTTTCGTTATTACTGTCCGTTTGGTTTACGCGTTTAAGTCACTGATTTTGATTCTGAATTCAAATTTTCTGAGAGAACTCATTGGGAAACTTTTTCTACTCAAATTTTTTGTGAGAAATGTACCGTAGCAGAATCATAATCATGGTTTCAAACGCGTGAACCAAACGGGCCCTATAATTTACAAACTTTATCAACTAGAGCATCTTTATTTTGGTTTGTACAGAAAATTTATGTTGATTTGTTTGTTTCCCTCTCTAGGTGGTTATTCCATTTCATCAGCTTATGGCTGTGAAATCATCAACAAGCAAAGCCAATGCAGCTGAAAAGTACATACAGGTTATTTCTGTCGATAACCATGAATTTTGGTTTATGGGCTTCGTACATTATGACAGTGCCGTAAAAAATCTTAAAGGAGCGTTGCAGCCCCGCAGTGCGTGATGGGGCGTTGGACGAAACTTTTGGGTATGTCATGGAAAAAAGTACATCATGTTGATTTAAGTTTGTTGTTGGATACGTATTCGTGCTTTTAACACAATATGCTTTTACTTTGTTCTGGTTTGTGAATCCACTGTAATATACTTTGCACTGGATCGCATAGATCTTATATTGATTCGTACTATTGTGGTATTGGAGATGATAGGAAGCAACATACAAAAGTTGTAAATGACATTTGTGATTTGGTACATATATTTCATTCTTATTTGGTAACGAAGGATTTGTTGCTCAGTGCTGAGTTTGAGTTGGCCATGTTTAGGAAATTTATCTTTGTTCCTATATTATACTCGTATGTATTCCTTTAGTTGAACGCTTGAACTTATTTTCAAGAGTGAAAAGTGATCCTTGTATTATTTTATTGAAAATGTATTTTGCTCGTTTGTCATTTTTGCTGAAATTTAGCATACAAGGTTCTGTTTAATTCTATTCACCAAATTCCAATGCTTAATCTATTTTTTCTTTTAAATTCTGTTTATGTATCCAAGAGGCTTGTTTTTTGTTGTATTTATATATGACCTAGAAGTCTAGCGTTGATTGAAGGTAAATTCAGGCTATGCTTGTGCCGAAAATACCAAAGTCTTTTCATGATTGCTATGTAAATTTAAAATCAACAAATTGATGATTGTAATATTGATTTTGAAAGGACGTAGGGTCGTTTTTCTTATTACTAGGTTGAATGGTTTGACATTTTGTCGTTTTACTTTGAATAATAGTGCTGTCTACTTTATTGTTGTTTTATTTCGAATCGTTTTGCTTTGTTGTAGTTTATTCCGATATCTGTGGTTTCCACAATTGTTTCGTTTTCTTGTTTACTCTCGTTTTGGATTTTTTTTTTTTTTAATCACTGTCGTTTTATAGTGTTTTACGGTTGTCCTTTCCATATCAGTTATTGATGTATAACATCACTTTTTATTACAACCAGTCATAAATTTTTCATATTAATCTAGACTGTTATTGACACAACTACGTTGACGTTGTTTATTTTTATTTATTTTGCTACATGAAGTTTTAGTCGTTTTGTAGATTGTTGTTATTTTCAAGTTTATCGAGCATCTGGAAAGCTATAATGTACTAATTATAAATTTAATATTTGAGTGTAAAAAACACTTTTTAACACTGATATTTGTTCTGTCAAATTTTTCATATGTTATGTTCTTTGATAAAGTTCCTCTTGAGTATAGCATATGAAAAATTTGACATTTAATTGTTGTTGGTTAAAATGTCTATTTTTTTATGTAATTATTATAATTTTTACATTTTCTAATTATTTTAAGGGACTTTCTCTGTAAAAATGACTACCAGTAGTCTTTTACTTTTCAACCATCAGATCTCTATTAAAATCTATCTGTTTTGCATATCTTTTTAATCTGATGTGATTTTAATCAAATTCAATAGTAAAAAAATATAACTACCGGTAGGACGTACTACCGGAAAAACTCCCTTTATTTTAAAAATAAAAGTTTATTTTTACAATTTTCGAAGCTTAATGGTTATGGAAAAAAGTAGATTTAACATATTAAATAGTATTATGTATTGGGATAAAAATGAAAATAAAATATTATATCACATTTTTTGATGATAAATATACAAATTACATTAGTATTTACATCAGGTATGGTATTCTTATCTCATGTTATTATCGTTTTTGTGTTGGTGTCGTTTTTCTTTTTTCCAAAGTCATTTTTTAGTTAAAAGTTGTTGTTTTGTAGTTTTATTAGCCGTCTCAGATTGTCGTCAATTTTAAATTATATTCTCGCTTGCGAGCCAGGTTATTCTCTTCTCATTTTGTCATCAACATTCGACTCATCGTTTCTATGATGATGTCGTTTTCCCTGTTTACCGTCATTTGTTTAGTCCTTAACATTTATTGTCGTTTTTTAGACATTGATAATCAATATGGTTTTTACATTGGTGTCGTCTTCTCAGGTTGTTGGTGTTTCTTTAGTATCGTATCGTATCATTTTCATTTTCTATCGCAACTCATGCTCGTCTTTGCGTGGGTTTACCTTTTATATTGCTGTCCTTTTAAATGGTGATTGGTGATATTGCCGTTTATATCTTATGTTTGTTTATTTATTTATTATTATTTTTACTGTTGTAGTTTCATGTTCTTTCATGGGGCAGTTTTATATTTTAGTACGTGGTGAATGATATTCTGATGTTCGTGATGAAGTTACAACACATGCGTAACACCTTTCAGAATATATGTGAATCTACTGTAGATAATACCAAATCAAAATTTTGTCTTTAAAGATATAAAACTCTAGTGTTTTAAAAAGTGCTCATCTTTACGTGAAAGTTTTGTCCTCAATCGTGTTATTCGGTTCATTTTTGAACCACCGGTGTCAGTGCTAACGTGCCACTGACTCGATAATTCGTTTTGTAGCGGTTTATCAGTTTACTTCGGTATGATATTCTCGTTTTTTCTGCTCCACTTGTGCAACCCTACCGCACATAATATAAATTATATACAAATTTGTTAAGAGTGGAGTTAAAATATACAAAAATTTAGAATATTTTTGAAATAATAAAAATTACATAGTAATCGTTATAATGATATTCACATTTATACTCCTCACGTAGTAATTGTTTTAATGATCTTAGTTTTTACTACTTATAAAATATTAAAAATTTGTTGCTATATGAGAAATATAAGACCCGTTTGGTAATATTTTTAAAATGATTTTGTTTTCAGCACAAAAGTGAAAATGAGATTGTTTTAAAAATCATTTTGGAACTGATTCTAAAATTGTGTTTGGTTGGTTTCTTAAGATATTATTTTGAGTATAATAAAAATGTGAAATCGTGTTTGGTTATATTTATAAAATTTTATTTTGAGTACATGTAATTAATAACCATAAATGAATATATTAAGTAATTAATAATCACTTAGTAAAGAAAAATTAATATATTAATAATATAATAATAATGGATATTATCATTAAAGAGTACATTAGTAATTAAACTATATATATAATAAATTAATATGCTAAATAATTAAAAAATAGTAATTAATAGTCGATTATAAGTAATTAATATGTTGGTAACTTACTCATATTTATTACTTTATAAGTAATTAATTAGTGTATTAATAAAAATAATTAATACAAAAATAATTTATTAATATTCTCTTAATAATTAACGTTTAGTTACATAATTATTGATTATTTAATTAATTACTAATGTTTATTTAATTAATTACTAATGTTTATTTAATAATATATTATTTGATATATCAAATGATCAATTTTTAATAATTATTATTTAAATAATGATTAATTACTAATTATTAATTATTAATTACTATTGATAAGTATATTACATAATTAATAATTATAATTTAATATTAATTACTCACTGTTTGTTTTTTATTTATAAACTATTTACAAATGAATAGATTATAATTAATATAATAAATGATTGTAATTATTAGTTATTTATTTAATAACCTATTTTTAATTATTCTATTATTAATATATTATATAATCAAATTTTGACAATTAATCTTTAACTAAATAATTAATTACTATTTATGATTTATGATTTGTATTAATAAATTACAAATTTAATAATAATATATTAATATTTAATTAATAATTAAGTAATTACTTTCTATTTATTAGTTATTAATCATATCTATTTATTAATTATTAATTAATATATTATATAATTCGTAATTAATAATTAATTATTTAATATAAAATTATTGATAAGTATTAGAAAATGAAAACGGAAAAAGGAAAACAACTTTAAACTGTTTTCTACTTCCTTCACAAAAACCATTCTCATTGTTTTTTATTTTCGTTTTCGTTTTCAAAACATTTACTAAACAAACGCGGTTTGCATACCGTTTTTATTTTCGTGTCTCAAAAAATGTGCATAAACGTTTTAAAAAATAATTAAAAATAATTTCACACACCCATAGTGTCACACTTTCTGTCACTCTCTTTGTCACTTTTTGTATTGACACGTGGACTCTATTAGTATAATTTATTATTATTTAAATATAAAATAAAATAGCCTAGTCTATTTGTCAAACTGTGAGTGCAGAGAGTTATAAAGAGAGTTTTCATTGTTATATTTTAAATAATTCTACTGTATATTGTTAGCATTCCCATATGACTTAAACTAAATTAAAGGGGTCTCGTGGGTCATGTCAACCGAGAAGAGATAACATCCAGTCTTGTCTGCAAAAGATTCAACATGGAGTGTGTGCAAAACTAGTGCGCATATTCAAGTCCAATCATACGAACACTTTGTTATTGAATACTAGGGAGGAAGTTCGTTTGTGCAGAGAGTTAAACAACCAAAATCTCAAAAAAGTGGGGCCCTTAAGGGCAATTCTTTCTTAGGCAGAACTTTCAATATGGTGTGTGTATGTGCTAGTGCATTGCATGGTTTATTTTTGTCTGCTTTACTCTTGTAAATGAGTATTACTAGTTTGGCTTTGTCTCTTGGGAAAACTCTAGAATTTAGGGCCCAGAAACAGCCCAATTAGAGAACTTTAGGGCCAGCCTGCCATTATACATCCCAACTACCGGCAAAGTTCAATGGAAGCAAACAGAAACACAAAAATGACAAATAACACTCATAATCCTTCGACATATAACATGGGCCCATATAGCTTTAAATCCAAGTCCAACTTGCCCTTTTGAAGAAAACAGAAAAAAATAGAGAATTTACTTTTAATAGTATATGAGTCTAAATTTTTACACTTTATTATTAATAAATACATTTTTATTAGTGTAATTATTTAATTAAAAAGATTATAAATTAAGAATAAAGAGTAAAAATTCTGACTTTGCACTTTTAAAGAGTATTTATCAAGATTATCCTTTAAACAGTAAACGACCAATGTATTATGCAAATTTCGGGCCCGTTGACTTCACAGTTTTGAATTGTGTGGTTTTGAATCTTATAAATTTGAACCAAAAGTACTGAACCGATGTGGGTTTTATTCTGATTCAAACTGGTATTTGGAAGGGTAAATTCTGAACAGAAAATAAAACATCACACCATGTAATAAAAGTTTGAATTGGTGTTTAATTAGTGTGAGATTAAAGTCACAGTTTTAAACTATAAATACTATAGTAAATAGGTTTAAACCCATGAGAACCTAAAGAGAGGGGCTAACTTCTCCAAAATGAGTTGTAAACCCGCTTGGAATGGTTCTAAACTCACGTCACAGATTGAGAAAAGTTACAACAAATATT